TGGTTTAGGGTAAGGGTGGGAATGTTTAACAAACCGCCTTGGTTATTCTGAGTGCAATATGAGAAAACACTGTATAACCATGGCAAACAAACTATTAAGACTATCAGAATCACCAGGAGGGCTTGTTAAAAGGCCAGTCTCTGGTTTATTAGGATTGGAATGGGCCTGAGAATGGGCATTTCTAGCAAGTTCCATGTGATGCTAATGCTACTGGCCAGGGATTCCACTGTGAACAACTGCTATAAAGCATTCACTAAGTATAAGTACTACTGGCTATCTTGAGGACTCAGGAAAATTTCTCCTAAGAGAGAGATCTAGGAAATAACATAATGATATATAAAAAATAATTACTCATTCATAAGTTGAAATTTAATTCATTTCAGCAAATATTTATCAAATACCTATTTGCTACAGGTATTATGTACACTAAAAACTTACTGCTGTCAAGTCAGTTTGACTCATAGCGACCCCTCCTTCAGTCTCCGAGGCAGTACCTCTATAGAAGTAGATTGCCCAATCTTCCTTCTGAGGAATGGCTGGTGGGTTTGAACCACCAGCCTTTCTGGTTAGCAGTCAAATACCTTAGGCACCACGCCACCAGAGTTCCCACACTAGGGTATACAAAGGGGATGGGGGAGACACTTGACTTCAAGAGCAAGTATTTATAAATAAATAAATAATACTCTGTGGAAAAAGGCAAGAGTAAAAATATCCAAACACAAAACAGGTTCTGGAGTGTTGAAGTCCATCTGAGGTAGTCAGAAAGGCTTCTTAAGGATGGTGATAGCTGTCCTGGCTTTTGAAGGATGACTTCTCAGTGAACAGCATGAACAACAATACATAGGAATCCTATACTGGGATGTATTTGAAGTCTTTTAAATAAATCTCTCTCCAAACCAAACCCACTGCCATCAGGTTGATTCCAACACATAGTGACAGTATAGGTTGCCAAGATTGTAAATCTTTATGAAAGCAGCCTAGCTCACCTTTCTCCCCAGCTGTTGTGTTCGAACCACCAACCTTTTGATTAGTAGCTAAATGCCTTAAACACTGCAGCACAAGAACTCCTTAGATCTGTATGTTGTTGTTGTTATGTGTCGTCGAGTCGGACCTAACTCATAGCGACCCCTCATTGGGTTTCTGAGGCAGTCTCACTATGGAAGTAGATTGCCCCATCTTCCTTCTGAGGAGTGGCTGGTGGGTTTGAACCGCCAGCCTTCTGGTTAGCAATCAACTGCCTTAGGCACTATGCTACCAGAACTCCGTTAGAACTGTATAGCTGGAGCTTAAAATCAAGGCTGATAGAGATCAGAGATGACACTGGAGAGAGGCAGCAGCCAGATTCTGGAGTGCTCAGGAAGCTAGAGTATATAGAGAGTCTAGGAAGTCAGTCAACTCCTGGAAATAGTGGAACAAAACCTTCCAGGAATCTCAAATTGGCCCAGATCTATAATGATGGCATACATCCTGTCCTAATACAATTCTATACATCCCATCTTGGGTGTTGTTCTTGCCATTAGCTCCACATTCTCAAAGACTTATCAAGACTGAAGAGAGTTGGAGCACAGAATTTGGTATTTTCTAATCCTTTTGGGCCTGGAGAGTGTGGCCCCAAGATTATTCCCTGAGGCTCTCTCCCTCACAGGTCATAGAGGGTTAAAAGAAAAGCACAAAGGAAACTTGTTCATCCTTACTGAGGGGAAGTGACTCACAGGTTTAAGAAAAGAAAGCATTTTGTAAAGGGTCAAGTGTGTCTGATACAAAGAGGCCAAATTAGTGAAAAGTTAAAAAAAAAAAAAAAGAAAGAAAAAAAACACAGCTGTTATTGCTCAAAATTCAGTACTTTCTTTGTCTTGCATCAGGTCAGGAGGGGTGGATTACCAACAGGCAAAACTAAACATTTGCTTAGAGCACTAGGGAAGTTGGACCACCAAGAAGAAAAGAAAGAATAATTTGATTGTGTAAAGCATTCAAGATGTCAACATAGGGGGAAAAAAGCCTCACAGACTTTTATTGGACTTCTTAACACTTATTTTAGGTTCACATTTTATTTTACTTTGGTTTATGTGACAGTGAGGGGCAAAGAACATTTTTTTTTTTCAGTTATGCTAAGGGATACATTTTTAATAAGTTAGTTTGTAAATTTAAATATTATAAATAGTATCAATGGTACTTGCAACTTGAAGTAACAGAGGTAAAAGCCTGTGAGGGCTTCCCACAGTTCAAAGTTCATAGCTTGGCAAACAATGTTACAGTGTCCTGGTGGCCTACCCTGCTCCCCATTCTAGGGGTGGAGAACCCCTCCCATGGCCCCAAAGGCCAGCTCCCTTTCCCACTTCCCAAGTGTCCTCACAGGTTTACCTGCCCATCCCCATATCATACCCCATTCTATTGGTAGCTGAGAGTTCCTGGGAGGCAGAGGCCCACAGGCACTTTTGGAGATCCTGGGCCAGTCACAGGGCAATGTGCCCACTGAACTCCTACCTGGCCCCAGGCTGTTACCTGATTTGTTTGCTTAGAGAGTCTGGTTCCAGCCCCTTTATTTTACACAAGAAAAAAACTAGGCCTCAGATGGTGACTAAATTCTTTTTGAAAATAATGCACAACCTACAGGATTAAAAGAAGAAGCCATTTGCTTCGTAAGCATTGGCAGTCACCAGACAAGTGCTTTGCTTTTAAATCTTGCTGGGAAAAGAAGGTGAGCAACCAACAGTATTCTGAGACAGATTTTGGAAATTCCGATGAACTTTAAATTAGAAATATGTTTGAGGAATTGAGTTCAAAATCAAAAGAGCAGTAAAACGGACTTCCTTCTCTACAAATCAATTGTTTTAAAATGAAGGTTAGAATTTCACAAAACTTTACAAGTTAGTTGTTAGCTAAAAGTAACAACCTCTAAGTCATTGTTTTTAAAAGACGTTTCTAAGGATGAAGTGGAGCAATAGATTGTTATTGTTGTGTCCTAAGACAATTCCAACTCCTAGTGACCCTATATGACAGAGTAAAACTGTCCCAGGTTTCCTAGACTGTAATTTACAAGAGCAGATTGCCAGGTCTTTTCTCTGCAGAGCAGCTGATGGTTTGAACCTCTGACTTTCCTGCAGCAATATAGCTATGCTCCACCAGGATTCCTATAAATTTGTTCTTGTGCCCCCTCCACTGCCTTTTGCAAAACCCTAAAGCCCACTTGGACACCGTCCACACTTGCTGCTCCTCTCAGGGCCCTCTAACAAAGGAATGACCCAGGCAGGCCCCTTTCCACCCAGACAGGACACCCCATGACCGAGGCAGAACGCCCCCATCGAGACATGGGTCCCCACCCTTCCAGGAGGGTCCGCGGTGTGTGTGTATACGGGGGTGGGGGTGAGGGTGGGGTGGTTAAGGCGCCGGGACGCGCGGTAGAGGCGACACTCGGCCTTAGACAAAGGCGAAGGGGCGGGGCTCTCATGGCTGCCTGTCACGTGTTGTGGAGGCGCGAGCAGGGTATAAAGGCTGGTCTCCGGCGAGTGCCATTCTTGGAATTCTGTCGGGGTTGCCAGAGCCGGCCACGCAGACTCGCCTGACCTTCGCCTCTTCCCTGCTGTCGTTGGGTGGGTGCGCGCCCCTTCCCTGCACCAGCGAGTTGGTTCCGGGTACTCCCGCAGCTCTAGGTGGGGACTTGGACAGTTAGTCTGCTCTTGGCGGGGCCCCACGGTTGGGGGAGGGGATCGGTTTTCAGGCCCTGGCTGGGAAGGGGCGGGCTCTTGGACCTGTGTTTACGACCTTGGCTTTTGTTCTTTGAGGGTTTTTTTGTTTTTTTTTTTTCCTGCTAACAGTTTAGGGCTGTTGTTAGTAAAACTCTTTTGACTTGCTTGGATAGTGTCTGGGTAGTAGTTTCCATTTATCCTTAAGTGACATTACTTAAACAGAAACGGTTAGAAAATCATTTTAGGGCAGAATTTTTGGGGTACACATCAATGAGCCAATCGGTACTGGAGCTTGACTTCCGCTTTAAAGATGGTCTCTTGGAGAAAAAAAAAAAAAAAAAAAGCGTTGTTACTCTAAATAGTTTCAACACACCAACTCATTTGTAGTGGAACTGGGACCCTTAGTGGCAGGAGGGTGAACTGCCTCGCTCGGAAGTGGTGGGCAGAGGCTGTGCAGCTTCTTTCTAACCCAGCGCCGAGGCAATTTTGTGTGGGTGTGCAGGCCTGGTGGCCCAGTTGTTAAAAGCGCTCGGCTGGTAACCAAAAGGGCGGTTGGAAACCACCAGATGTCCCCGGAGAAAGATGAGCTAGTCTGCTTCCGTAAAGACTTATAACCTTTGAAACCCTCTGGAGCAGTTCTACTCTGTCTTACAGGGTCGCTGAGTTGGAATCTGAACACCAGTAAGTAGGTAGGTGGGTCGTTGGGAATACTAAATTTATGCTTAAAAGTGTCCGGAAATGTTTCTCAGTTCCTTATAAGTATCTCTTTCTTCTTGTGCTTAAACAAAAAAAACAAACCACACTGCCATCAAATCAGTTAAAACTCAGCAACCTTAAACTAATTTCAGTTCTTTCACAAGGAAGGTAAAAATAAATCCGCACCCGCCCCGGTTTCCAACTCCATAATCTTGATCTTGTGGCCCCTAGAGGAATACTGACTGACTGAGATGTCTTTTACTTGAAATTTCTCCTCAGTCTTAACATAGGTTTCCATTCAGCAGTTTTGTGAACGGATATTGTCTTTCAAAGGGTTTTTCTAGTACAAGGCACATACATCAACACTATTGCATTTCTTTGCTGAACCTCTTTTCTATTAAATAGAGTTTAAACACAAGCTCTGATATCTTGCCTCAGAAACTGTTCCCCTGAGGAGAAGCCTGAGAGTTAGAGGATTGGAAGAAGTTTAAAGACTACAGGATGTCATCTTGAATTTTGCTCTATTTGTACTTAGCATTTGCTTTGGGGTATGAATCTGAGACTCTTTCATCCCTTTTAGATCCTGAAATAAGTTTCTCTTCCACAGACTCCTTCTTTCTCCAGGAAGAAAAATGGCATCTGTTGCAGTTGATCCACAACTGGTATGAATTTTCATTTGCTGTTTCTTGATTCTTTCCTCTCCACACAAGTTTTGAGAAATTAACACATGTCCCCCTTCCTGTGGTTGCAGAATGTGGTGGCTAGGGTGGCTAACCTACCCTTGGTAAGCTCCACATATGACCTGGTCTCCTCTGCTTACATCAGTACAAAGGATCAGTATCCCTACTTGAAGTCTTTGTGTGAGATTGCAGAGAAGGGTGTGAAGACCATCACCTCCGTGGCCATGATGAGTGCCCTGCCCATCATCCAGAAGCTAGAGCCTCAAAGTGAGTTCTGATTTCTCTTTCAAGATTCAGTCCAAGACCCCTGGTCAGGGGTGAGCCAAGAGCTGCACTTACATTAGGTGAATGCCAGTCGAATTGCCCTGAGTACACAATGACATAGTCAGGGGATTCCCAGCCTTTACCTAGAAACTGCTTGTAGACCCTCACTGTCATTGAAGGCCTACTTCATAGCTATGGCACATCTTTAGGATACTTTAAAACAATCTCCCCCTAGAGATGCTTCTATGGTGGCCACTTAGATCATAAGGGAAGCATGCAGTAGGTAAAATGAAATAACTGACCTCCTTGGGACCACACAGTGCATACGAACTATCTTTTTAAGATAACATCTTTATTGAGATATAGTTCACATATCACACAATTCAGTTTGTTGTGGTTGTTATGTGCTGTGAAGTTAGACCCGACTCATAGCGACCCCTCCTTGGGTTTCCGAGGCAGTATCACTAGGGGAGTAGATTGCCCCATCTTCCTTCCAAGGAGTGGCTGGTGGGTTTAAACCACCAGCCTTCTGGTAAGCAGTCAAGTGCCTTAGGCACTACACTACCAAAGCTCCCGTTCACAGTTTAGCGGGTTACTAAAGGTTGACAGTTCAAACTCACAGCAGTGCACTGAAAGAATGGCCTGGTGATCTCCTTCTAGAGGGTCACAGCCATGAGAAGCCTACGGAGGGCAGTTCTACTCTGAAACACATGAGGGTGCTGTGAATTCGAACGGATGTGGCAGCAACTAGAGGGATTAAAGTAACATAGAATTGCTGATCTTTTTTTTTTTCAGACTCTCACCTTTATTGCCAATTTTTTTTTTCTTAATCAGAATTTTTTTTTCCTGTCACCCAAGTTAATATGTGTCTACCCTCTAGTTAGTGGTTTACCCTCCCTTCCCTATCCACCCCTGTAGAAGTGCTAATCTTAAGGAAGTGTTCAGATTCTCTTTCCCTGAATGAGGGTTCAGATGTAGCCTAACTTCCTTTTGCACTAACCTTAGGGGCCAGTTGATGAGAAAGAAGCTTATTATTAGCCAGCTTCCTACCCAGCCTGTCACTACCACTTTCTGCTGGTCCCCCTCATTACCTTGGCAGTAAAAGAAAGTTGCTAGCAACCTGCCAAGCCTCTTCCTGTTGGAGCTAGGGAAACCAGGCAACACATTTAGTGGTAAATGAAGATCAACACTCTTGCTGCTTTTTTTTTTTTAATATATAATAAGGATAAATGTTTAGGACCCAGTAACATGTGTTCATTTCATGCCATCACTATTATGTTAACATTTTCCCCATTTGTGACTCTTCTAGTTGCAGTTGCTAATACCTATGCCTGCAAAGAACTAGACAGGATTGAGGAGAAACTGCCTATTCTGAATCAGCCCACAAACCAGGTGAGCTTGGAACCAAGTGCTGAGGCTTGCCACTTTGCATGTTTTCATGATCTACCTGTTATCATACGCTGTATGTGTCATACACAGGAAAATGCTTATTTGGAAGAATCATTCCTGCTTCTTTACTTCTGGAACTATTGTCAGGTTATGTTGAAGAAGCAGTGACAAATTAGCCACCTTTGGGCTAGAATATTTTATGTCTCATTGCTATTAATTTGTAGTTTTACCTCTGCAGATAAAGTTACTCTCTCAAATAACTGACTCTCATGAGGTTTTGGATAATGCAGAGGTGGTATACTAAAACTTTTTCTAATTTGACTTGGTGCAGTGTTGATAGGACTGACTACCATCCAGTATGAACAAGTAGTCAATGTTGACAAAAGTGATCCTCCTCCCAAAAAAGAAAACAAACACACTGCCATCGAGTCTAATCTGACTCATAGCGACCCCTCCTTGGGTTTCTGAGGCAGCATCTCCACAGAAGTAGATTGCCCAGTCTTCTTTCCTAGGAGTGGCTGGTGGATTGTAACCCCCAGCCTTCTGGTTAGCAGTCAAATGCCTTAGGCACTATGCCACCAGAGGTCCCTGACAAAAGTGATAAGTCCATCCATTCTGGTGATCCTTTGGTACAGATATGTCCTAGAAGTTTCTTTCCGATTAAGCATATACCTTGACACAAAGTAATACAAGGTAGGGAAAATCTGACTCTATGTCTTTCATAATGTAAATAAATAACTCTAGTGTATAGCTTCTAGACTGTGTATATCTCTTTTAAAACTAGCTATGTTGTTTGGGACTATTCTAATAGTGAGAGTTATTATTTTCTACTTCAGGTTTTTTCTTTAAATTTCTGTGACTTGTATGTAACACAAGTCAAGCTACTTTATTTAAATTAACAAAAATTGGGTTGGGTTATTGAAACTTCTTATAAATGGTATCTGGAGAAGATCTTCTTTGGAGGTATTAACAAATAATTAAAGATGGATTTACTGCATGCTAATGCTGGGAGGGCCAAGTTTAGCTTCATCTTCATTTCCTCACTGAATTTATGTGATTTTGGAATTTTGGAGTAAATTTCATATAAATGCTTCATAATCTCACCTTGCTTCTTTCTGTGATCCTGTCTGTCTTTAACTATGTGCCTATAAGCAAATGTTGGCATTTGTAATATGAACTGTCATTTAGGTTTTAATCTTTTAAAACATTTCAATTTGTATTGAGTTATAGCCCTTGTAAGCCCATGCATAAAAAGAAAAAAAAAATTAAGTTCTGGATGGCCTTAGCCAAATCTGATTTATCCCAAACTAATACATATACCTTGTGTATTTAATCCATATAATCATTTTAGGTGGTATTTCTATTTAACAGCTCAACAGTTGGAAGTAGTCATTTATACAAGGACATAAGTGTCATAGCTTAATTTGGGCTTTAGTCTTGTGTTCTTTCTGCTGTGTTCTATGGCCTCCAATCTGATATGGTAGCTAACTCCTAGAAAGTCACTCACAGAAGCCTGTATATCTTGTGAGGTATGCTATAAAAACTTGTGTTATTCCTTCCTCCACCCATAGAAAAAACTTGTGTTATTCCTTCCTCCACCCATAGAAAGAAAACTTCTCTTGCTTGCTTCACAGAAGGATAACAGTAGATATATTAATTTACACTATCTTGTGAGTATCTTAGGGGCACGACTGGATTATACCCAAGGGCATTTGCCTATTTGTCATATTTCACCTTGCATGTAAGGAGAAGAAATTAATGTCTTAAAATGTTCTTGCAAAATAACTTGATACCATGAATAGTTTATCCTGTGTTTGAAGAATCATAGTGAGTGACTTAGAAGAAAATAAGGCTTACTTTTTTAAGTTGTTCATTGTTTTTATTTTTACATGCAAGACATCAGCATTAACTATTAGCTGTTCTTAATGGAGTTAGCTCTTCATGGAATATTAGTGCCTGAAAGGACACTTTAGTGACACTTTAGAGAATAACTAAACTGAAGGCTTTATCTCTCCTCCACTTAATCATATAACTAGAGTTATGGAGCTGCTATATGTATCCTTGTAACTAAGGTTCAAGTGGAAGTGGTTGTGGTAGCTGTTATTCTGGTCTCAAATTCCAGCCTCTACCATACACTTGAGCAAAATGGGAAAAACCAGCCAGCCATGTCCCTGGGCTGTACCATTGGGTATCATGGAGTGGAGCTTATGTAGGATGGTGGTTTGGAAATCTTATGTGAGTGACAATATCTGAAAGTACGTACAATGGGATGAAGAATGGTCATCCCTCCTTAGGTGTTGTCCTGCAAGGGTTTGTGTGCAAAGGACCAGGAATGAATGTCCAAGAGTATGCAGTGCAGAAGCTGCTCTCAGTATAAGTATATCAACATGGAAAAGGCCACTCTTCTCTAGCGTAACTCCTCCACCTCACTATAGGTTCATTTAGTTAAAAAAAAAAAAAAAAAACCTAAACAGACATAACATATTGAAAACTTGATGAATTTTATATGATATTACCTCATTTGTTCCTCCAACAACCCTTGAGGGATGGGAGGTAGGGCAAATATACCTGATAAAGAAATTGAGGCTCATCAAAGCTTAGTGATATGCCCAAGCCTCCAAAGCTAGAGATTGCCAGCACAAAATTTCTTCCTTAACTCTTCAACTGTGCTACATTAGTTCAGACCTTAAATATGGACTAATCCCCATCCTTTTCACCTGCCAAGTGATCTGCCTTTCTGTTTGTAGGTTGTTGCCAGTGCCAAAGGAGCTGTGACTGGGGCAAAAGATGCTGTCACAACTGCTGTGACTGGGGCCAAGGATTCCATGGCCAGTACAATTACTGGGGTGGTAGACAAGACCAAAGGAGCAGTGACTGGCAGTGTGGAGAGGACTAAGTCTGTGGTCAATGGCAGCATTAACACAGTCTTGGGAAGTCGGATGATGCAGCTGGTGAACAGTGGAGTAGAAAACGCACTCACCAAATCAGAGCTGCTGGTAGACCAGTATCTCCCTCTCACCCAGGAAGAACTAGGTAATTAGACTTTTATCTTGAAGTAACATTTTATATGTTAAACCAATCTTTTGTTTTTTTCTAACAGCTTCATTGAGATATATTTTATGCAGCATAAAATTTGTCTGCAGCATAAAATTTGTCTGCTTTCAGTTCAAATTTACATTTATGCTACCATCACCACAATCCACCTTAGAACATTTCCATTACCCAGAAAGTCCCTCATGCCTGTTTGCATTCAATTCCAGTTCCTACCCCAAGTCACTACTTATCTACTTTCTGTCTCTATATATGTCTTCCTTTTTTTTAAAAAAATTATATACATATATATTCACATACACACCAAATCAAAACCATTGCTGTTGAGTTGATTGTAATTCATGGTGATTCTATAGGACAGAGTAGAACTGTCCATAGGGTTTCTATAATCTTTATGGAAGCAGACTACCACATCTTTCTCCCAGAGAGTGGCTGGTAGGTACGAACCACCCACTTTTTGATTAGTGGCCAAACACTTAACCACTGTGATACTAGGGTACACACTCTCTCTCTCTTTCTCTCTCTATATATAAACACCAAGTTCACCATTTTAACCATTTTTAAGTTTACAATTAAGTGGCAGTAATTACATTTACAATGTTGAACAACTATTTACCACTATCTCCTTCTAAAACTCTTTCATCATCCTAACCAGAAACTCCGTACCTATAAAGCTAGATCTGCCTTCTTAAAGCAATCTTGTTTCACACTGAATTATACTTGTTGTTGTTGTTGTTATTTGCCGTCAAGTCGGCCCCGACTCATAGCGACCCCTCCTTGGGTTTCCGAGGCAGTATCACTACGGAAGTAGGATTGCCCAACCTTCCTTCCGAGGAGT